GTGGATACCGGGAAGCCCCGGGACACATGGCGAATCCTTAGGAGTTTTTGTGTCGGCGTGTGGGGAGGACGGGGCAAGGAGGGAGGGAGGGTTGGGAGGAGAGAGGAGGAGGGAGAGAGGAGGCAGGGAGGGTGGATAGGAGGAGAGAGGAGGAGGGAGGGGGTAGGGAGGGAAAGCGGGAAGGTAAGGGAGGGGGAGGGGGAGGGTTTGGGACAATGATGGAAGGGTGTCGTTTGGGGAGAGGGGGCGTGGTGAAGGGGCTACGGTAGGATGGGGATGGGGACGGGGTGGAGGGGGTGACTTTGGAAGGCTCGTCTGGCCGGCAGCCGGGCGACGAAGCCTTCGGGGCAAGCCTGCGGGCGTGGGACTGAGGCCAGATGGTTCGGGATCCTGGGCGGCGCTGCGCCTGGAACAGAATTTGCATTGCCCGGGAAAAGAAATTATTATTTAAAAAATATATATATTTGTTGTGTACTTATATGTTTTATTCTGTTTTATTCTTTTTACTTAGATATGTAAACTGTCGAAATGAAAGCTCTCACCTCAGCCCTCGGCACATATATCCAGAATCTTTTTGCGAAAATATATTAACTTTTTTCATTTATGCATTCATAGATTTACGTAATCTTTGCATTTAATTTCGTCCATTAATGTAAATGATTTATTTCTCTCATGACTTAACCAGCCATTGTTATGTATTTATTGGTACAATAATTAATTACCATTTTTATCCTCAGATTCCGGTTTTCCTTCAGTTATCAGGTAAGTGCTTTGTACCCTGTTCATCCGTTGTCTCTTCCTCCTCCTTTTTTATATTTCGATCTTTTACTTTCACTCGTTCTCTTTCTTGTCGCCTTCTTACGTTCTCCTCGTTCTCCTCTTTTTCTTTTTTTTCCTTGTTCCGATTCGCCCGTCCTTTTTATTTTTTCTTCTTAATTATTCTTTCACCAACAACTGTGTCTAATAAATCTTCTGTTCTCTCTATCGCTTCACGCCTCCACTCCCCCTCCCATCCCCCCACTACCTCCGGGTCTTTCTGATCTCGCCCTTTCCCCTCCTCCCCCTCCCTCTTTCCCTCCCCATACCCTTACCCCTCCCATCCCTCTTTCCCTCCTTCCTCCCCTCCTCCTTCCCTTCCCTTCCCCTCCTCCCCCTC